TTTAACCACTAAAGCAAATAACTGAAGAAGGGGGATAACATTAAAAGAACAGTGGAGCTGATTAAATACAAAACACTTTAAAATGCACAAAACATACTGGAAATAGAGGAGCCTTTCTTCTTTCATCTTTTTAAATTACAGCACTCTTAAGAATGGCTTGTAGTGTAAGTACTTCATGTATTTTCAAATTGAAAGATGACTTTCAGTGTCACAGAATTCTGCAAACGGAAGACATAATACGGCTCCTGGAAGTTTTTTAACCTTTATTTTGTAATGAGCTGCCTTATTCTGAAGTCAGACTCTTAATCAAACTGCAGCAATATAACCATGCCAGTGGGGTGTAAGTGGATCTGAATTCAGATCCTCTAACTGGTTCTAGCCTGTACCACCATTTAACAAGGTAGACGGCCCAGAGCAAAAACTTAAATATTAGCAATTAAAATACAGTAATCTCTTATGCTGCCATTATTTTGTGCAATATTTTAATAAAAATCAATGGAAAATGCTAACAATCTATGGTCTTTAGATGTTGGTTAATATAAATTTAGTTACCTTATGATTGAATAAAATCCCCGAAGCCTGTTTGGAGAGCATTTATAGTTCTAGATCTAAAAAACTTAAGATACTGAATGAGATACTCCCTTTTTTGTGTATTCTTTTCAGTGATAGTTTGTGTTACTCTAAAGGTTGTATGCCTGCATCCATTTCCTCTTCCAAAGCATTAATACAAGCAATCAGCATATACTTATAGTCACCAACCATTACAGAAATTACAGATTGCTTTTAGGATAAGTGGTTTTGCCTAACATACAGCAGGTTTTTTGCTTTTTCTAAACAAAAATAATGGTGAAATGCAGACGTTCTTTGTATCAGTTTTGAAACTACTGGGGTAGTTTCTTTGTGTAACACTCCAGTTCTCAAAAGAACCTTTCCCCAGTCACATCTGCTATTCTTCTCTGTCCCAAACACCCACTCCGGTCAACGATGGCAGAGCCTATCAGTGTCTAGTAAACTTACATCCATATCAATTTAAACATAAATAGAAGATGGAGATAATCTTACAAGGCTTTGTGTGCTTTTAATTTCTTGAAGTACCAATCTCCTTAATGGAAAAGGAGGATGCTGTCCCATCTGATGATACGATAATAAATAACTGTTCCTTTGATCTATATCATGACAGTGGTCTTAAAGCCAACACAAATCTTGTCTTAGATTTGTCACCAATTTTCCATATGGATATTGCTGCATTATTTAGTGTAGTTTCACTACCTCTTTGTCCGTAGTTCCTCTTCTCTCCCTTGGAGTACAGCGTCCCACATCAGTGAAAGCAGAAGAATAGCTTCCGGGAGACTCCTGGTCTACTGAAAACAGAAATTGTGTGAAACTATGGTAAATTAAACAAAGCCATTCAAATCTGTGATGCTGCTTGGTTTCATTTAGGGGGATGAAGAGGTATTGAAATGTATTATTTTACTTTTAATAGAAAGAAAAGCACGTGATATGATGACTAAAGTACACCTTTAAAGAAAAAGAAGATACTGACTCTCAAGCAAAGACAAAAGCTGTCCGCTGATCCACAGCAGAAGAATATATGATAAAGGATAGAGAGAGCAAAATTACGCCTCGCTGTACGAAGGGGTGTGACCCTACTGGACCAAATGGAAGACATGACGGCAGTACCAGGACTTCCATCAGGTTGCAAGAAACTGTTTCAGAATGCCAACAATGTAAACACATAATTACATGCACAAAACATGACTAAAGCATGCTTCAATGAGAAAATAATGAACAAAACTTGTTTCCTCCTAAGTGATCTAAGGTGCATTTCTACTTTACCACAGGCACTTGTTAGGCAGCACAAGGGAATTTAAAAGGATGTTATTTCATAAAAACAACTCTGTTTTAAGAGATGGAGTACAAATCATTACTCACCAATCTATGTGGCAGATTTTCTCTAAAGCACAGTTTAGCAATGTTTATTACAGGATGGCACATTATAGGCTGGTGAATACATCTTTCCATGTTTTAATTAAAATAAAATCATAATCCTACACTCTTTATAGCTCTGCAAGTTGCCAATGGGAAATGAAAATATAACGGAATTATTTCAGACCGGAGGATGAAACGAACTGCTTCTGACTTCTGAGATTTTAGCCTCCTATTTTACTAGTACTATTTTAGCCTCCTACTGCCACAGTGACACCTGCTAGTGGAGACATATGACTGATGTGTGTCTTCCTTCGACTTCATTCACACATACATTTCTAAGAAAGTACATGTAGAAAAAAAAGATGTAAATGACCTCCAGTGGGCTGTTGGCTAATCTATTGATAAAGACAGTGGAGGCAAAAAAAGATAAAATTGTATTATTTATGTCATTGGTGGCAAGCATACCATCACCAACAAGTGTATCACAGTCCCAGTTCTGGACAGCTTTCTTGATATGGCACGTGTCTGTGAATGAGGATGTATGCTCACTGCATAAACCTAAAGATATAATGCCTCCAAACACACCTATTGATTTTCCTTTATACTGTAGCAGAAAGAGAAGAACGTGGGAGGGAAGGAGTGAAAACGCAGCAGCTTTAGGAAGAACCATTTCTGTTATTTCTACACAGCTCCTTATGCAGTCAATACTGGTAGTTCTCAAGTGTTTTTTTGCTATGACCTTGGGGTCTCTGTGTGGATGGGGCTGTAAGAGGCACACACAGATCCAACAAAACACAAACCTTCATTAGAAGTAGAGCTCAGCCATGACTGCTGCTGATGGAAGTCAACGGAACATTCTGCTGTACTAATTCTCCACGCTACTTTAAGGATATTAATGTTGACAGAGCATACCGCTTTCCTCATGCCAGGCTCCTTCGTAGCTGCAGAAGCTATTAGGAATCCATGTTTATTCTGCACTGTGGATTTCCTTATTTTCTAAGACTGGAAAATTCTCATTTAGCAACTGTGATATGTGACCAGCGCAATTTCCAACAACTTCGGTCTCATCGTGTCGTGCTGCCGGCCAGAGTTAATCATGATCAGGCTTCAAGTATGACTAATTCAATACTGAACTGCATTTGATAGCTGTTTTCTACCAAATTCTCTCTTCTCAATATGTCTTTTTTAACTAGGTATGAAGAGATGGTAACAGCTTCAACTCTGATGTGCTGCTGAGGGACATGGTTTAGTGGTAACTTGGCAGTGTTAGGTTAAGGGTTGGACTTGATGATCTTAAAGGTCTCTTCCAACCATAATGATTCTATGGTTCTTGAAATACATATTTACTAGTGTGGTACTTGCAAAAATTGCAGAAAAAGTTGTGAGATTAAAGATAAGTAAGATGAGTCCGATCAAATATTGCATAATTGATATATTGAGGACATTTTCTCTTACATCCATTTGTAATTTCAATAATAGCTTTGTAATGTCATTAAATTCCCAAGGATGCTCTGTCAGAGGACTGTATGTCTAGAAGCAGAACTGTTTAACACAGAAATGTTACCATTTAAAAAGAGAAATAAATGACAGACTTGCCAAAAACTTTAATCTAAATCATCCGGGATACACCTTTGTGCACTCCCGCTATGAATCTAGTTTGCTTCTTTTAATATTGAAAGGTTAAACTTTAAAAATGTTTTAAGCTCAAGCAATTTTTCTTTTTTTTTGAGAAAAAGAGAAGCAGAGCAATGAACAACTCAAAGTAGTAACTTTAAAACCAGATCACTGTCAAGACAGACGTTTTAAAAAGTTAGTGACCCTGACAGTTTCATTCAAGTTTTGATTATGGTGAATTTCCCTTCTAAGAGGATAAGATATTTCTCAAAACTTCATAGATATATGAACGTTCTACGAGAAGAACTAGTTTTGCTGCCACAGAAATTGGGAATTGTATGGTTTGAACAGTGGAAATGGAAACTTCCTAAAACGACCTTAAGGTCTATTCACAAAAAGTAATACAAAGCAGTGGAATTAGTGTATTTTCATAAGAAAACAGAATCAACTTTCTATGCTGCTGACAGAATTAACAGCATTTTTATCACTTCCATGTAACAAAACTATACAGTACAACATGTTTTAGATGCAGATTGTTGGTTTGGGTTTTTTTTTTCCAAAATAAGGGTTGTCTGCACATTGTTTTTTCTTTGACCACCATCTTACGATTCAGGCATTCACTTTCTGTAAGGTCTTTTTCTTGGAGAAAAAAAACCCCAAAAAGCAAAAATATTGCTTAATTTAATAACACCATTGTAATTTATAGCACTAATAAGCTATTAGTTGAAATACACCGTTACTCCAGTTGTCCAGATTACTTTGTGAATAGACAGCAAATTTATCTATCCTCACCGCCTATGCAAAAATGACATCCTTCATTAAGAATTTTGTGGGATGAAAGCTTCTTATAGACGGCACGAATAATGGAAATGGAATGAGAAAGGGTGGGAAATACAGGGAGTAAGGTTGGATAAGTGAATCACAAGGACAGAGGAAGAAAGTTAATCCACCTTGGAAACACAGTGCACTATCATTGTTGTTAGTTGCGTCCATGTCTGGAAAAGAGGCACTAAGAGGTAATCTTCCACAATCATTCTGGTACAGTGGGCAATGGATAGCACCATCTTGAGGCAGTGGATGAAAAGGCTGGTGCATGGGACTCTTTTTCAGAGCTTTGAGAGATGAATTCCTTTCTGGAATGTCTGGAAGCAGCTCAGTAATAAGTCTGTGTAATATACTGTTGTCGGGCAAGCTTCCCCTTCTTTTTTCAGCTTTGATTTGGTCACAGATGTCTTTAAGTGCAGAATCTAGTGCTTCAAATACAGACGACTTGCATTTTTTCTTTTCAGTTTGTTTTTTAGGAGCTGCACTTTTTTTCCTCCGGAAAGGCACTGGGCTGACTAGGAATGCTATCTTAGAGAGGCCAGATTCTGCGTCCTGTCTCCTCGGATCTTCAGCGGTTTCTTGTTTAGCCCTTTCGTGTTTTAGCATGGTGGTGAAGCGGGTGTAGGAGGCTGGGCATCGCCCTTTGCAGGAGCTGATGAGATGCCGGTGGTGGTGGTGGTGGTGGTGGTGATGGCCCGATCCATAAAAGCTTTCAGATGACGTGAAGGAAAAGTGGTCAAAGTCACTTTCACTACAAAAGGATGAACCCTCTATCTGGATAAAGTCACTGAGGTCAGAAACCATTCCATCTTGATCACTGTCTGAAAAATCCATATGCGATCGTTGTGGCTCATCACTGGTCACTTCGATATGAATTGGCACCAGGGTTTTAGACTTGTAGCTCCGTTGTACCTGAGAGGGATGTCTGCCTTGAGTTTCTTCTTCCAGCAAGGATTCGATAGAAAATCGCCTCTTTGGACATAAGCCGTTTTTAGGAGGCTCTAGTGTAACGGTTGACAACATTTCATCGCCTAGGTTCGGCATTGATTTCGACTTCTGAATTAATTTTTCAAATTCAGATATTCTGGTTGGTACCATGTCTCGTGGCACCTCTTCAGTAGAAGACTCTCTCCAGCCTTGAAGAATACCTTTGTGCTGTTCTTTTTCATACTGCAGTATTCTGGACTTCACAGAACAAATCACCTCAGAATTCATCAAGTCCTTGCGATTGATGCGGTGCATCTTTTTGTACATTTTTAGGAAACCCGGGGCATCATGCGCAGATCTGTGACGAACTCTTGACCTACTACTACCACGGCCCTCAGGAACATATGGGGAGGCCCAGTTCATTGAGCAAACTTCTTTGGAGTCCTCCTCGCACAACAGAGAGCCCATGCTTTCAGACTTGGCCTGCGCATCGGGAAAGCTATCGCGATCATCTGTTAACAGATCATCACAGCTACGAGATTTCCTCTTTGGAGAAGCAGTTTCTTCTGTGCTGCTCCAGACTTCTGCATTTTGACGAGTCATTTGCCAGCCATTCTTGTAGCTGATGGCCCTTCTTGAATCGTTTGGAACAGCTAAATGTTGTCTGTAAGTGCTACAGTAATCTAATTCATTTGAGGTGTTGTGGTTGTGCACTGAATAACTTAAAAGGGATGGATATACTTTGCTAATATCCCCACCTTTATAATCCATAGAGCAGCATGGTAAAAAAGAGACATTGCCAGAAATTAAAAGATTCAGAAAGTTGGAATTAACATCAGTATTAGAAAGACTAGAAAAGAGACAGCAATTAACGCATCTATCAACTTAGGTCAGCACATAGGTTGCTACAGCCTGGGGAAGCAGAGCTAATAATTAAGTTATTTTCCAGCTGAAAAAATGTACTCATGATAATTTGAACATCAAAAAGAATTCCTTATGAATTATGGAGATGTTACCCCTCTCCTCAACCCCCCGCCAAAGTAACGTAAGAAAACAAGCATTAACGTTGATTTGGAAGCAGATCAACAGACAATAAAAGCTGCAAAGAATTTAAAGATGAAGCCAAACAATGAATCTAGACTTCAGTCAAATATTGACTTTTCCACCTGTGCATTCTGAAAGAAACTGTTCAGAATTTTTGAGCTGAGTAATGCTCAGAGAGTTCACAACGACTGCATATCCTAACATAATTAAAGAGAAATCTTTATATAAGGTCAAATGGGAAATTTCTCCCAGTTGTTGATAGGTAGCATAGGTAGCCCGCGCTTCCCCTGCGTGATAGCACTGAAGGGAGTGGTATTTTCTACAGCTTCTGGAGGGCAGAGCAAGGCAGCTGAGGAACTGCTACACGGGTGTAAAGGAAGACGTATGAGTTTACTGAGCCTAACCAGCATGTAGAAGAAACATGCTGACTTCCATAGCTTGGCTTCCATAACAAAGCCTGAGTTTTCAAGCAAGTTTTACGACTTATTTTTAGCGCGTGCTAGATCTAGAAGTCACTATGAGACACATTTGGAACTGCGGTCTCTCATACTTGCACTGAACTTTCAAAAATGGTCTCAAGTGGCAACATTCAGTTCAGGATCCACGCTTCAAAACAGCTCAATCTGCTTTCTAGAAGAACAACTTGAATCTGGATCAGAAACTGAAACACTTGAGTTCAAAATCCGTGCTGATCAAAGAGCTTATAATGTGCTGCTTCTTTAACAAAATGGTTAATCCCAAGAAAAATTAACATCCTAGTAGGTTTCCTAATGCTGGTAGAGAACAGAGTGATGCAGCTAGGTCACCTTCCAGAAGTGATTAATTAGCTGTGGTAGATGTTCTTAAGGGAAGGATTTTCCAACACAGGAATTGTTTAAGTCTTGGTAAGGGCTCATTATTGGTGGTGTAGTCAAAGGTAAATGCAGATAAATGGAATTTACCAACTTTTCAGTGCCTGGCCTGGTACACCAAATGGATGAGTTTACCCACTTTTTAAATTACCCCCATAACACTGTTTTTTAAATACATTTGCTTTTCCGTCACTTCACCTTAATATTCCTCACTGCTTTTCTTTGTATGATGCATTCTGTTGCAGCCAGGATATTACATTCTTTTCAGTGGGAATTGACTTTTACAAAGGTTTATGCAGTCCCTAATAGAGCTATAGGCTGATTAGAAAGTATAGCTACAGAATACAGCAATTAAATGGATAATAATAACTTAATACTACTTCCATCACATGTTTTACTGGAAACCTTTTGTCTTGCTAAAAAACACCACCGAAAACCCCAAACCCAAACCCACAATTGATTCAATTATCTCTTTTCTGGAGAGACATGGAGAACAGTGATGTAATGGCAAGTTACTTGGAAAATAAGCTAATTAGATTGCATATGCTGTACTAAATACTTAAAGGATTTACAAAATCAAGAATCAGATTATTGGATGTTTGCTTGATTAAATTAGGTCCTGATAACTGACAAGGTCTAACATATCAGCTATAGATTTGAAACGTCTGCTATTCTGGAAACACATCTTTAATCTTGAATGCTATTTGTCTTGATTTACTTTCTGTATATTCTGCAAATGGTTTTAAAATAACAATAATCTAATGAGAGTAGTGGAGTTAATAAAAGTTTATGGGTTCCTCTATTGTGGTACAAATCATAGTCTTCATTTAGTCAATTCCGTGTTGTTAAAATAAGCAGTTAAAACTGGAAAATCCTTGTTACAAATCCATCTTTTCAGCTTAAACTTACACATTGTAAGAACTACAGATGTAAGAATAAAGAAGTTAGTTGTCCAACAAGCAGCTGTTGCTTCGTATGAGTAGATCTCCCAGATCTCCGCACTGAGCAAGAGCGGACAGTTGCGTTTAGACCAAGGGATTGTACAACACACCGTCAGTAGTTTTCTGCTGGCAAATACGCTCTTCTTCTTACCTTTCGCTCTTGATGGAGACGAAGGAGACGAGCTAGTTAAAGGCTTCCTAAGGGTGGAATATGGGCCTTGCATATCCGTACGGCCCAGGGTAGGCCTGTTTGCGTTCTGATCGCTGTGTGCCCTCTGATGACTTACAGCAGGTTCCGACTTCCTTCTTTTTCGGTAGTCACTCGCCGTACTTGCAGAACTACAGAAATAAGCAGTATTAGCAGCGGTCTAATTCCGAGATCAGAATTCAGGAATTTAAAAAGTAAGCTCTTAATTATATTAGCGGTTTATAGATTAAACAATGCCAGCACAAATGCATCAAAAACATGTAAAGGGGAGAAGCACTGGTCTCAGACATCTGACAGCAGCTCAGGGATGGTAGTGGGAAGACCCAGAACACAGCATGGCTTATTCTGAACGTAAACAGTAAGTCCTTGTGAGACAAAAGTAAGGTTTACACTTCAGTATCAAAATACGAACACCCTCTCCACGCATCTCTCTATTTTCTCAGCAGCTCACAAGGTAGAATGTTAAAATCCGACTCTTCCCAACATCTGCTGGCTTCAGGTCATAAAGAAAACCCGCAGGCTGTATAATCTGTGTCTACTGAAATCATATATTGAATTTCTTACCTAGAGGGCCTGTCCAGGCCTCTGTCTGTTGAATAGTGATGATATAAGGAAGCCTGTAAAAACAAATATATGAATCTGTTACATGTCGGTATTTGAAAAAGGGGTGACAGTTTCTGTTTATTGTGTTCGATTATGCTTTGTTACTCTGTGACAAATCCTATGAAAACAGACTATGATGATTACCATCCTGGGCACTCCAACATAGACATGAGAATAATTACACAGGTTTTGAAAAGCATCACTAGGTTTTATTTTATATTCTACTTCAGTAATGTTTTTCGATGATTACCATCCTGGGCACTCCAACAGACATGAGAATAATTACACAGGTTTTAAAAAGCATCACTAGGTTTTATTTCATATTCTACTTCAGTAATGTTTTTTTTCTTTCAAAGCACTACTACATAATGATCCAAAGTCATGCTCCTCTATTCCCTTTTCAAAAATAGATACAGAACAGCTGAAATGCACTTTTACTATAAAAGCATAAAAATCTGAAAATAATTCCTTCATGCGCACGTGAGGTCTGCAGAGCTTCTCCTCCCTCCCAATTACTCACCAAAATCCCACAATCAATTATAGCCAGAAACTTTGGTAACTCCCATGCTGTTTGTGGCCAGCTGTCCACCACCTTACATACCTGGTGAGAACAGTTCTAATCCCAGAACATTTCATTGCTTATGGGGTTGTGGAATTAGCTACTGCAGGAACCCTGGAAGATGGAATAGAGTACTACTCCATAATTTTATTATTAATACAAAGTCAACCTTAAATGACTGCTAATTATAAATAAATCATTTCATACATTTCAAGCCTGCAGTCATAACTAGGTAACACTACAATTCTGGTAACTCGGTGTGAATCTAGAACGAACTGCATGGTCCCTGGGGTATTTCTTCATGGGTACAAAGCAGCGTGGTTCAAAGGTTCAGCTTGTTTAAGTTCCTGGCGTGTCATTTCAGAGCTAACCCGATGGACTGGAAATAGAACTATCACATAGCTTTGTAAGCTGCAGGAACTATTCTTCTGTCTATAGAAGCCTTCTAGACTTTTTTCAGTATGGAAAAATCTTTACAGACTTTTCTCTGTACAGAAGGACTGCAGAAGTAATAGCACTCATGGCCTTTTTAAGCGCTTTTTTTTTTTGTTAGGTATTCTTTTTTCCCCTGTGATTTGAATTGCAAGTTAATGAATAGGACTTCACCCAGATTTGTAAACTGACACAAATACTTCTAGGGGGCACCTATAGTCTAAGAATACTTGGGAACAGATTTCATGAGACTGTGCACTTTAAATGACATTCTACAGCAACTGTTGAAACTATTTTTACAGGTGGAGCACTAGAAAGACAATACAATTGTTCCGTTAGAGCTCATTTGTCACTAGACTTCATTATTGAAGACCTGCATCGCACAGGAAGTGGACGCTAACTGAAGTTTTGATTTCTGGTTTACACTGAAATTATCCTGGGAGGTGGGGAGAACTACACAAACACGTTACAACATCTGTCAAATGTTATCTAAAACTTGAGCTAAGATTGTTCTTAGTTTCTCAGCGATTTTTAACTGTAGTTTAATTTAAATCACATTAAAAATCAGGTAAAAAAACTTTCAGGCTCTTGGTAAGAATGGCAGCTGAGATGTAATCAGTTGAAGGATGTTAATAATTCCAAGTTAACTTCCAGAGAAAATAAGGCCTCTATAACTTATTTAAGGTGATCTCTGCGTAGGGTTTCAAAATGTTTATTTTTTCTAAACAGAAATTTCTTTGCTTTATGGACAAGTACTCAAGTATTTCTTCTGTGTTTCTACTTATTACTACTATTATTCTCACTGTTAAATACTGTTACGTTCATAAGCTCCAGTTTGGATCAGAATAACCTGCTGTGTAAATGCAAAGGTAGAATCCCTCCTCCAGTGCGATTACAAATCTGGGATAAGTGATCTGCAAAGAATATGCTCACTGCAAAAACCAGTAACACAAACCTGACCACTAGAAATGGCAGAATTAGGCTCCCGATACTCTTCTCAAGTCATACTTAGCTTAACTTGTAAAACACTGTGGCAGAACTAGCTCTAACGTGGATTTCTGTTAGACTAAGCATTAGGAGTACGAGCTGTATCCTATTAGCAGTGTTTGTGCACAGCTCTTCCTCCTCTTGATTTCAGCAGACATTCCAAAGGCAACAGATTTTGAAAACAACATTGGCTTGTAACGTTGGCAAACAGGGTTATGGCAACTCTGATTTTTCACCACGAGACAGCTTAAGAACTGGCCTAGAATTGAAGGAATTTAGTTCCTGGCGTATTTCAAGGCTTCTTGGCGATCTTTGACAGTTCAACATGGCACGTTTTCATTCCACCGACCCTCAGAGCGTTTCATTGTGGGGGAATTCTCTAAGTAAGCACGAGTTTAGGAAAAAAGGAAATGCGAGGTTTTGGTTATAATGACTTCTTTGTCCTCTTCCAATTTATTTTGAAATGAAATAGAGTACTGGACCAAATCATGGAATCATGACAATCGTACCACTTCATTGTTTTAGTAATTTGTGGGCTTAAACTTGCTAGTCTTTGCGCCTCTTCAGAATGGAAGCAATGCAAGACTCAGGTAATACCTCTAAGAGTCCTGTGCTCTAGAAGTGATGTTTAATATTCTGTCACCACATCAGAGGCAAAGCTGAGGCCATTTCTCTGCTGCTGCTGAAATTCTCACCTGATGAATACTGTTAAATTGTTCCTGTTAGAGCTCAATTAGACCAAAACCTCTGAAACTGCTTCCAAACCCCAAATGTGATTCTATTGTAATGCGCTACATTGGTCTGTTTGACAAATATTTTGTTTTATAATAGAATTGGAAACCAAAAGAATCATCCTTATCCTTCCACTGCTGCACTGCATCATGGATTTTCAGGTTGTGGAAACTGATGCTCAAGTTCTGGTAACCTACGACTCTGCTCCAGTGACTTATGCTATGGATAAAAGAGGTCAACTAGAAATAAAAGCTTCAAAAATTACCTTAGTGCTATGCTAAAAAAAGGGGTTACTTGTCATGCAGTCATTTTCAGCTCATCCAATACAGCCTCTAGACCCATTAGAGGAGACATGATCTCCTCTGTTCATCTGCATCTCATTTACAGTAGCGAACGACACACGTGCAACCCACAGTGTGCGCACTACAGCAGGAAGGAGAAAGCGGCATTAAAAAAGTTATCAGTGGCAATACGTCCACCCGATAGGAATTGCTATTGTGTTTATTCTTTCTAACTCAACATGTCCTCAAGCAACACTCATCTGCAATCTGCAGATGGTGGATGAGAGACCTTCACACCATCTGGGAATTAAGCAAGGTGAGGCAGTGGGAGGCAGCCCACGTTCTCAAGGAACAGGGAAGAGGTCATCGGTGACGTCAGGAGGATGGCGCTCTCAGTGGGGCAGGTCTGCTCTAGCAACGGCCTGTTGGAAGAAGACTACCAACATTACTGATCACGTGCCCAGCTTCTCCCAGTGGTTCCATCAGTGAAGGTTTGCCTCACTCCCATACAACCATGTATTCCTTTCCCAGGTGGATTTCTGTGCAGTGGTGCTCCACATATGCTTTTTTCCCATGAGGGGAGAGTACACCAGACTGTGGAATTCAATCAAGTTTTATCACGGCATCTGATTTTTATTTGCTAAATTTACCAACACCAACCTATTTTTCTGCAAGTGAATGTGAAATTATTTCTTACAAGTTTCATTTTCCTAGCAAAACATAGATTTCAAGGTTTGGTTGTTTGGCTTTTTTTTTTTTTTCTTTAAATCATCTGTCATTACATTGTTCTTAGGTTATAAACAAACAACTTATGACATGTTAAAATAACAACTGATTTGTGGATTTGAATGTGGAGAACAGAAACAGATGATTGTTGACCAAAGTATGTTAAGTGCTGTAACCTAGCTCATAAAGTCAATGGAGTTAAACATTAGAGAGATGGGGTACCGTGAAACAAACCCATACAATCTGCTGTAGGAAAGGAGTAAAGGATCAGATCTCCTTTCCAAAGGCAGCTTAAATAGAAGTCTGTGTTTTGGAGCCGGTTCTGTTATGGAGTGTGGAGGAGATCGTCAGATATTCTCAGACAGAGCATAAACCTGCTATTAGCACTTAGGATATTATTCCTATTTTATTTCTCAATATTTGGGATGTGTATGGGGCTCATGACGAGTGCATTACTGTTAGCCTATTCTGTCTAAACCAAGTGTCATGGCATTTGTTTTTTAAAATACATTCTGAAGAAGGTAGTTATTCCTTAGTCCTTACTGTTCATACAGTTCCTATTTTCAAGTTTTTCCTTTACATCCTCTGAAAGCTGCAAACTACTTTATGATAATTCTCCCATCACTATCCAACTTCAATTATTTTAAGATACATATCTAATATTATGAGGTCTGTCCGCAACAAAGCCATGGAAGCCAGCAGCAGAGTTGCTCACACCAACAGCTGGTGTAATCCCAGTTCTCCTTGCATTTCTACACAACCGAGCGAAGCAAAGGCCTCCGATCTGTGTGCTTCCCTACGCTGCCCACAAAACACACACTGAGCCTGTCTGGAAAATGTCAAGACTCTTATTTCAAAAGTGGCCAGAACTATCAACCTCCTCTTTGTTGACCAGTCACCACCACAGTCCGGTACCAGCAGAGGAAGGGACCTCAGGCTCACAGGTGACCTCCGTTAGGACTGTTGCATGAGGCAACACAAACACGGCAGATCAATTGTCATTGTGGGTTTTTCTGGGCAGGTCCCAACCCCTTCCATCAGAGACTGGACCGAGCCCACACGATGGCCAAAGAGCCAGGAGGCAGCGATTACACTCCACCGCTTGTAATGGCTCCAGGGCTATACAGCCCACGATGGAAATCCCAAGGGCGGTGTCGATCCCCATTGCCTCCTACGGAAGGGAACTTGTAAATCACACAACTGAAAGCAAACCACAGAGAACGTCTTTACCCACAGCATTCCCCAGGCCATGAACAGTGTGTTAGCGATCAGCCTAAGACAGCAAGAAGTGTGTGTC